TGTAAATACAATTTGTTCACTCACTTATATTATAACATAGAATTAGAATTGGTTGGGAACCAAAACTAAACCCAAAAGCATGGTTTTTGGTTGAAACGTATTTGTGCTTTTTACAAGAGTGTTTATTTATTTCTTTTACAGGAGTGTTGGTCTCACATTAAAGTTGTATTATATATTTGTATCCATGTTTGGGCCCCACATGTGAGTACAAATATATTTTTACTTATGCTTCTTGTGAGTATTTTTTTACTTATATTAGCACAACTCCAAACTAAAAAATCAATTACTTTTTAAGAAAGAACAATGTGGGAAATTAAAATTTTATTACAGCAGGAGAGACTTAAAGCTAACGAAATTAATCATGAGGAACAGTCTCAATTTCTATGAATGACTATGCCAAACTTGCTCAATTTTTCCTCTGTATAAGCATGGTTTGTTCTCAAGTGGGGTAAATCTGACCTGGATATAAAGATGCAACCAGAAAAAGGAAAATCAACTGGCTAGGCATGAAGTTTAATCTTCACTTTGATTATAGTTACTGGCCTATGTGACTGAATCAAACAAATTGGATTTGGGATGTTGCTGACACCAAGGACAGCACTGTAAAAAAAATCCGTCTAAAACAGAGACAGTACATGAACGAGGAAAGGGTCTAGTTCAGTAAGAAGCATCGTTTAGTTCAGTACAAAACAAAGGGGTAGGCCTCAGATCAGATTCAAGATAAAAAATAAAATAAAATAAATTCACTGCAGATAGATAACTTTCATTGCAGTGGATGATGGTTCAGTTCTGTACGAAGCACCGGCTAGTTGGATGAGTGTTCCTTTTGTCCCAATATCTCAGAAAGCTGTCAAGATTTTAACTTGTAAGGAAGGAACCAAGGTTCCAAATAGCAGGAGTTATAATATAGCAGGGAAGTCTAGTGTGTCCAGTAAGCCAGCAATGGGAAGACAGAAAACTATTCTTGCATTTGCAACTACCATGCAATGCAGCAGTAAGTAGACAGTAATGAACTTTCTACAGAGCCGTGGAGGATTGGTCTTTTTGACCTCACCTTGTCGTCTAATATTTACATATGTTTTTATGTTAGCCATGTCCACATCAATCTAGCATTTCTTGGTTAGCACCAGTGTTAATCAACTGAAAATGTTGATGGTGCTACATAATCTCTCTTTCCCGCTCTAGTCTTATTTCGAAGTTGAGTTACATATTCCAGCCCTCTTGTGTGCTCATTTGCATTCTGGAGAACTCAGAAATGTAAAAGAACTGGTGCTACATGATCCAGCAACTCCACATCCATCAATGTTAGAGCTCTTTGTAAATTTTGTGGGTGAAAACTTGAACATCCATCATTGTAGACTGCAGTAAAGATTAAACTCTGTACCCTCCATGTACGAAAGCATTCCATGACACCTACAAGTATGCCAAAGTTATCATCAGTTCTGATGTGCAGACATGAACCACAATATTCTTATCTGAATAACTACGCAAATGAAATATCAAATAAAATTAGTCCATTTATTCCCTCTTTGAAGGAGCTCCATCCTTCATGTAAGAAAACAAAACCAAATAAAAAGCCATTTTAGCTGGCCCAAAACAATGTAAGCATTTTAAGAGCGTAATTTATGAAAAGGTTAGCTACTCGTTGGACCTTGGGGAATTTCTGGAGCAGGGACACCTCCCCTTGAGAAGCAGGACGCCAGAGAGCTCCTCGCCCTGGGAAGCAGGATGTACGGTAGAGGCAAGTTAAGTTGATGGACCGTTAGATCATGTGGTTTGACGGCTGTGAAGGTTTGCATCTGCCTCATTTGTGCTTTTATAGTAGTAGATAGTAGACTAGCACATGAGTTTTCTTGTACCTTGATGGCTGAGATCGAAGGACGAGCAAGGCTCGGTATAGAAAAGAAGATTATTTTCTTGTAGTTTATCAACACTTCACCATGAGTGTTGACGAATGGTCGTTTCGCTTTGAATCTAGGAAAACAAAATTTCCTTCTTTTAAGAAAGGGATCTTGAACGAAACTACTTTATAAAAAGAGGAATGCAATTATTTCACCTTCTAATGAACACTGCTGGTTTGGTTACACATTATGGCTCAGCCAGTTTTGGTTTTCGGTTGTATATGAAAGGACACAAATACCAGTGCTCCCTGCAAAAAAAAACTAATACTGGTGCAATCAGTTTTTCTGTACAAACCGGTTAGTATGTGGAATCTAATTGTTACGTGCATAGAAACAAAACCGACTGACATAATACATAGGTCTAATCCGGATTCTAGTCCGAGGGCTGACGACATCATATATTTATCTCAGTCAGTTAGTAGCGTAGAACCGTCTGAGATATTTGTTTATGAAAATAATCGTTCCCCGTTGAAGGGCTCTTTGGTCACAATAAAGCCTAAAAACTTAGAAATATGAAAATATCTATCGGTATGTAATGTTATACTGAATTTTAGAGGATATAAAAACACACGAGTGAATCTGTAATAGAAGGTGTTTTGTTGCAGCAAAAGAAAACACACAATCATATTTCCTCTGAAATTTCCTATTAGACTAGGTGCATGGCATAGTTGTCACAGAAACAAAGGTATGGAAATTTCCTCTGAAATTCATGCAAAGTCAACCATAGGAAAAATTCCTGTATGTCCCAATCCTACAAAAGAAATAATCTTTATATCTTACTAGAACACATAGTTACCACTGATAGATTCAGATAACCTCCTAGCCAGCACTACAATCTTAATGAACTTTGAGCCAAGGAACTTCCAACGTGTAAAAGAAAACAACTGAGAGAAACAAACTGTAGAGTTGGTCAATGATGATTTTAGTTGGATATGCAGAAGTATCCGGTGGCTACGAAAAATTTGAGAGGACCTATGTAGAACCAAACAATTCAGAAAAATGAAAGGGCGATATGAGGGAAACTAGTATACCCCTTCCATAATCCAGAGAGCTTTACTGAACTGAACAAACCAAACTATTACTGCATGGATCGCATAAAAACCTGAAGGGTTTTCTTTGAAAACGGTATTACTGTATCACATTTTGCAAAGCGAATTGCATAGAAGAAACTGGCAAAAAAAGATACAGAGATCAACCACATTTGGGACTAAAAATCCCTAGAAAAATGGTCAAGCAGTGGGCATTTTTTGGCATAGAAACGAGGAATATACAAAAAAAAATTGTGTAAAAACTAACCGAGATCACTCATTGAAGCTATCGCAGACACATTACCTCACTTCCTTTCTCGTTAGCTGCTAGATTCACGCCGGTGCCATTGCCGCCTTGCCAGGGCAACTCCAGCTTCGGGCAGCGTGGGAGCCAAGCTAAAAGGCGAGGGGCGCACCATGCACAGACCCACGTTAGTGTTTGTTCAATCCACCCAGTGGCTGGGTGATCCCCACTTCCTCCGCCATTTCGACTAAACCTCTTGATTCCCCTCAGTCCCTCGCTCGGTTTTTGTTCAGTTAACCCCTTCCTCAATTCTGTACAAATACAAGTACAGTGGCTAGTGGTTGCTTATGTCTTACAGTACATGAATGAGCTTGTGTAGCTAACATGCGCAGAGGCTTCACTGAACATATGCTAGTACAACAGAAGTACTACTAACTAAAAATTAAATCCACAATTGACTGCACTCTAACATCAAAGTAGTTTGATTCAATTCATTTTCTAACTTAAATTTTCTGAATCAAAAAACTGCTACCAAGGTTCACGTCAAGAAACCATTTGTGACTGTTCTCTAATTAAAATATGGCAGCTGACATTCAGATGTATCTCAAAAGTGATAGCCAAGAACTCAAAGTTGTATCATTCTTCACAAAACCAAAAAATTAAAGTAAGCAGATAAAAAAGGAAACTAGTGAGCCCATAGATTCATATATAGATATACTTATATCGGACTAGCCAACAATACAATGGAGACATGCATTTTATAGAACCAACTCGTTTCCTCCTAAAGTTCTCCGAATAATTTTAGTGCACGCAGAGAAACTGTGTCACCGCAAAACTTTCCAAATTTGTATCAAATTACCAAAATGTAATGGCATACAATGTTACCTTAGAATAGTATACTTTTAGGCCAACATCCTACCTCAGAAAAACAACTGAGACATGCAACCGTGATTTGCCCCGGAAGGCTTCATCACTGACAATTAGCATCTTGCACTGCCAGTTTCTGAGTTTCAAGGAAAATGCAAGTTGCTGTTTCGATATGCTTCACACAATACATTAAATTCATAAAAAGATTCATTCAGCATTTCTCTTCACATAAAACCCTCTATGATCAAAATTTATGAACAGGAAGCAATTGCATATAAGAATTTACCTGTACAGATTTCACGTACAGTGCCTTTCAGAGTGGAACAGAAATTTGATGTTAATTCCTTCTTTGTTGGGTCAGGCAAACATGTCAAGAAACCATTTGTAACTGTCTCTAATTAAAACATAGCAGCTGGCGTTCAAATATAAGTATTTCATACAGATAAAGCAGATTATCTCAAAAGTGATAGCCAAGAACTCCAAGTTTTATCATTCTTCACATATGCCAAATATTAACAAAAGTGATAGCCAAGAACTCAAAGTTTTAACATTCTTCACATAAGCAGTTTATCTCAAAAGTGATAGCCAAGAATTTAAAGTTTTATCATTCTTCACATAATCCAGCAATTAAAGTGAGAACATAAAAAGTTAACTACTGAGTTACCATAGATTCATATATACTTATATCAGACAGGACAACCAATACATTGGGGACATACATTTTATAGAACCAACTGCTTCCTCCAAAAGATCTCTGAAAACTTAAAGACATAGCACCCTCATCTCAGGTCGCTATGTGTCAAAAGTAACTAGATAGAAGCTAACCCAGGCTGGGCATGCCAAATTTAGCAAGACTTGATTCCTTCTGCGACCAAACATAAAGCATTCGCCTCCAAAGATCTTTCAGAGCTTTAGGATAAGCAGTAGCTCAGACAAGGTTGGCGTACTAAATTTTGCGGGACTTCACTGTTCTTTCAAACACATCTACAATGAGATCAGGACAAGATCTTTTGAGGTGTGCATACCCTTGGCTTGCGATCACATCATCCATTCTATTCGAAGAGAGCATAAATTCAATGCAAGCATCTTTGAGGTTGTTGCAATGGTGCTGGTCAGCTAGAGCTAATATGGTCGCCACGGTCTCAACATCAAGACTCTTGCATAGCATCCCTTCACATACCCTCTTCATCCTTTCCATCGCATACTTATCTCCAGCCACAAGTAAGTGCTTAACCATTTCTCTTTTGTCATCATCATCAAGATCATCCATGGAAGGCAATGAATCGGTGTAGATGAAGTGAAGAAATGCCTTGAAAACAGCAGGCTGCATGTCGTCAATAGTTATGTCCTGTGCCCCGTTGTCCCCCATAGGCCCATAGAACTCCGCGTTGAAGACCGCCGATCGCATCGCAAGCAAAATCTTATGAGCGGAAAAGACCTCCCCTTGAACCTTGAAAGTCACATCTGCTCCTATCTTCCCATTTAGCAAGGTTGCAAGATTATCCGAAAGGTCAGAGGGTGGCACATGGATATCAAGTGTTTCCTTGATAACACTGACTTCGCACTCGATCAGGAGACAATCGTTCTGCAGGTACGCCGACTCTACTTCAGCAGTGGTCTGCATGAACTTTGGTACGCCCCAAGATTTTTTACGCTCGAACACGTCTGGCCCTTTGCGGGAGAGCGCCACAATCGACTGCCCACTAACTCGATTCAAACGCATCCACATGTGGAGCGCCTTCACCTCGGCGTTCTTGGTCAAGAGCTTGAGGAAGACAGATACGTGACCTTGGCTCGCCTCGTCTGGGCTTCCGTCGGGGAAGTAGTAGATGCACCATTCGTGGCCCCCGATGGAGAATGCCGGAGAACGGAGATATTTGCCTCTCCCGAGGCCCTTGAGACGGCTGTAGCCAGAGATCTCGACCGCGACCGTGGCCCGCGCCGTGTGCATCTCTGCTGTGCACCTCGACGGCACCATCGCTATTGAACTCTGCGATGCTGCCATGGTGGGAGTTGGGAGGAGGTGGTTGGACTCTCGATTAAGACCGGCGGCGATGGGAGAGGTGGTTTTGCCTCCGAGACCGACGGTGAGCTGGGGAGCAGCGGCGCGACGGAACACGGGGGCGGCGGCGGCGTCGGCCAGATTTGGGGGACAAGGTCCAGGACGAGGGTTTGGACGAGGGGGGGCGAAATTGGTCATTTTACGCAGGTCGAGTGACACTTTTTTTTAGAATCAGTACAGACACAAGCGTTCGTATACACGCGCATACACTCACTCCTATAAACACATATGCACACCCTATCCCTATGAGCACCTCCGAAAGACTGAGCCAGCATATCATCTTAAGATTTACGAAGTCACCGTAGGCGTCTCGTCGTCGACATGAACGTCTCCTCCCACTGAAAACGCATCGCCGGAAATTCTGAAATAAATTCAGAAATAATGCGAATACCAGGATTTGAACCCTGATAGGTTGGGGATACCACTATCCACCTAAGCATCTCAACCACAGGTTGATTCGCAGGCGAGTGACACTTTGGTTTGTGTGTGTGCGTTAAAACTGGACTAAACTAAATTACTTGATGATTAACCCAAACAGTTTTCTATAAAATAAACGCATTTTTTCCTTGCGAACCAACCTGTGGTTGGATATTTAGAGGGACTGTGGTATCCCTGCCCACCAAGGTTCAAATTCTGATGCTCGCGTTTATTTCTGGATTTATTTCAGGATTTCCAGCGATGCGCATTCAGTGGGAGGATACTTCCCGTCGATGACGAGATGGCTACGGTGACTTCGTAAATTTTAAGATGATATGTCAGCTCAGTCTTTCGTAGGTGCTCATAGGGGTAGGGTGTGCGTGTATGCATTCATAGGGATGAGTGTATGCGCGTGTATATAAGCGTTTGCGTCTGTACTGTGTTAAAAAATATATTTTTTCCTTGAAGTAAACACATTTGAAAAAAATTATTTCGCATTTTTTTTCAAAAATGACCCAAATATATTAAAATTTGTTCAAATTACCCAACTAGTGAGTTTTTGATCTCTCTTTTCTTTTTTGCAAAAGTGGTCCAAATCTATTGGTATAAATTTCAACTTAGGTTCAAAGCATCGCACACATAAGACAAATTTCATTGAGGTCTTTGAACCATTGAACGAGCACTGCCACCATCAGAACGAGTCGTTCTTGTTGCTCCCCGGTGGAGCTGGCGTGATCTCATCAATGATAGCGGGGAAGTTTTTATGCATGTGCCTCTAAGAACCAACGCCTAGAGCCGCAGTGACCACAGTAAAACTCTTGAAAATTTGAAGTGCATGACACTAGATATCACCATATTGCACACACAAGGAGAAAACCTAACCTCGTCGCTCCAACGAGACGACAGAAATCTATGCCGGAGATGATGGCAGCACATGATTGGTTGCCGGTAAAGCACGCGACCGAATTATCCAATCTTACGTACCGAGAGCCAGGGCTCCGCCTCCTCCTCCTCCAAGAAAGAAAGTTAGGGTTCGTGCCTCTCGTCGGCGCCGGTGCAGGTCCGCCTCGTCTCCGGTGGCCCTATGGCCATGGAGGCGCGGTGGATCCTGGTAAGGGCCGGCGGGAGGGCTCCATTTTTAGTCGTTTTTGTCAATGTTATTAGGGTTTGTGTCCTACTCAGCAAAGCGAGACGGCAGCGGCTCCCTGAAGATGGAATAAAGGTCTCCCAGCCTAGCCCCCGTTCCGGCGGTGCATCTAGCATCGTTGGTGGGCGTGTGGAGGTGTGTCTTCGGCAGATCTATCTTTGGTGGATTTGCTCGGATCTCGTCGTTGTTCGTCTACGTTCTTGTGTCTTCGGTTTGGATCCTTCCGATCTATGTTATTCTTCATCGGCGTCGGTTGCTGTTCTGGGGTGCTGGTCCTATGGAGCATTAGCACGACGACTTCCCGACTGTCTACTACAACAAGTTGTGCCCGGCTCCGGCGATGGAGGGCCAATGAAGGCGGCGCGCCTTCGGCTCTGTTCGGTGCTTGTAGTCGTCGCTAGGTGGTCTATGAATCTGGATGTAATTTTTATTTCTGGTATTCGTTGTATTGCCATGATTAAAGATGAATAGATTGGAAGTTTTTCCACAAAAAAATCCGTCCAAATGTACAAACTTAACGAGGATCAAATGCCAAAATACCAACTCAAAGAATAAGTGTTGCGATCAGGCCGAGCTCCGACAACCCTCCCTCCCCCTCTGTGCGAATATTGAAAACCCTAACCTCAATTATTAGATGGAGCTGAGGCACCGGATTTCCCCTCCTCACCACCAACTGTCGGAGTGACAGGCAAAGGGGACGTGAATCTGCGGGCTCACTATCAAATACTCGAAAGGAAGAATTTGCCCTGGCTGCAACTTATAGAGGAGAATGAAGGAAATGATACGTCCTAAACATATCTACTTTTCCAAACAATTTTGCTCTTATTTTGGACTATAATTTGCATGATTTGAATGGAACTAACCTGGACAGATGCAGTTTTCAGAAGAATTGCTATGGTGTTGTTTCTGTGCAGAAATAAAAAATCTCGGATTGGAATGAAAATTTACGGGGAATATTTTCAAAATATATAAAAATACTAGCGGAGAGAATTAATAGAGGGGGACCACCAGGGCGCCACAAGCCCAGGGGCGCCCCCCCTAGGGTGCGCCTAGCAGGCTTGTGGGCCCCTGGCAGCTTCAACAACCCTAACTCCAACTCCATAAGTACCTATTCGTCTAGAAAAAAAATCGGAGAAAAGGAATCGTTGCGTTTTACGATACCGAGCCACCGCCACCTCCTGTACTTCATCGCAAGGGCAGATCTGGAGTCCGTTCGGGGCTCCGGAGGATGGAATTCGGCGCCGTTGTCATCATCGATCCTTCTTCATCACTAATTGCATGATGTTCACCACTCGGAGTGAGTAATTCCTTCGTAGGCTCGTTGGATGGTGATGGGGTTGGACGCGATTTTTCATGTAATCGAGTCAATTTGTTAGGGCTTGATCTCTAATATCCACTATGTTCTGAGATTGATGTTGCTATGACTTTGGTATGCTTGATGCTTGTCACTAGGGCCTGAGTGTCATGATTTCAGATCTGAACCATACCCTTTATGTTTTCATGAATATATTTGAGTTCTTGATCCTATCTTGCAAGTTATATGCACCTATTACGTGTTATGATCCGCATACCTCAAGGTGACAATAATTGGGATTCTTTCTGGTGACTACTGTAGTTTGAGGAGTTCATGTATTCACAATGTGTTAATTATTTATTTTGGTTCTCTATTAAAAAGAGACCTTAATATCTCTTAGTTTCCTTATGGACCCTGCTGCCACGAGAGGGTAGGACAAAAGATGTCATGCAAATTCTTATTATAAGCATGTATGACTATATACGAAATACATGCCTATATTACATTGATGAATTGGAGCTATTATGCATTGCTCTAGGTTGTGACTGTTACATGATGACGGTTATCCAACACAAATATTCATCATTGATCCAATGCCTACGCTTTTCATATATTAATCTTTGCTAAGTTACTTTCCCTGTTGCTGTTGTTACCATCACTACAAAACTGCTACTCTTACTGTTACTGTTATTATTGCAACTATTACCACTACTATCAAACTATCATATTACGCGTCTACTAATCACCTTGCTACAGATATTTAGTTCTCCAGGTGCGGTTGGATTGACAACTCAACTGCTAATACTTGCGAATATGCGTTGGTTCTCCTTGTGACAAATCAATAAATTTGGGTTGAATACTCTATCCTCAAAAACTGTTGCGATCCCCTATACTTGTGTGTTATTAGGAAAATATACAAGTTTTTCTCTAAAGTTGCACAAACAATCAATCATAGGGAAAAATCATATATTTTCCAATCCTACAAACCAAACAATCTTCAGTAAAAGAAGTACATTTAAACATTTTAATTGCTTGAGAAACCCCTAGTACCTAGGTAATCCATTTCATAATCATTACCACTGGTTTCCCTACAAATGACTCGGTCGGTTTTGTGTTTTTCGAGTTTATGTAAAGGAAACTAATGCGCAGTGTTATATGTATACTATGATGTTTCTAGATATGTATTACTTTATTTTGTAGGGAAACATCATAGTAATAATTTTCTCGGACGTTTCTCATGCATAAACTTTGTCACACATGACAATTATTCCTTCCTCCGTCATTGACCTCCATACACCTCAACTATATATTTATTTGTATATATCATACATTATCATCACATTCATACATAAAAAGGGCATCGTACTAACATTCACCATCGTATATAGACATCGTCAAAATCATCAACAAGTAAAAATGTTTGAAAAGGAGAAGCTACAATGGATAGAAATCCTTTCACCTGCTTGATTACATCATTGACTTCTCGACGTCTTTGTTACCGGCCACGCTTAACATGTGCCTACTCCTACCTTTCTGTCATGGCTCACCCACATATCTTCGTCACCACCCTCTTTGGTGCAGGGTAGGTGGCCCGATCTTCACGAATTAGAGTTGGATTAGAAGAACACGAAGGAAAACGATAGAAAACACAAAGAAACTACCAAAAATCAACACACAAAATGCAATAAAAGATACACATGGATAGATCATTGATCTCAATCATGTACACGAGTGAAAGAGGGAGCAATATATGGTTCTTTCCCACGAGGGCTTGTAATCTGGACAAATTCTTATCCACATAGGAGAGCTTGCGCTCATGGAGTCTTCACCATGTTGGTGGCCTTGTACTCTTTGGAGTCTTCACCATGTAGGTGGGCTTCGACTCCAATGGAGTCCTCTCCACTTGGAGGATCCCACCAAGGGATGTAGGTGAGTCAAACTACTAGTTCTGGATTTAACCTTTGCTAGCCCTAAATCTAATGAGGGTAATGTATATGTTATAGCAAAGGATTTTAATCCATTGTCCTATGTGGAAGGCCACATCATCAGCCAAGACTAGTCAAAGCAAGTGAAAGGAAGAAGACCACAAAAAAGAATAAGTCAAAGGGGACAAGGGAGTAAAGAGGCCCAAGCCCAAGCAAGGAGGCATCTCCTAGTGTAGGGATTCTCCCCATATGGGCCACAACCCACCTCATAGCCCAATAAGGTGCACATGGGCCAAAGGACGAAAAACTACCTAGTTCTACCCCCACCTCCTCGCTTCAAGGGTAGCCTTGGTCA